CTCCCAGCCTCTCCTTTTTTTCTTTTTTATTCTGGCATTTATTTACCTTCTATAATTGAAACTTTGTAGCCTTGAGAGGAGATCAGAGCCAGCCAGGGCAGGCGGGAGCGAAGCTTGGCTTCCTCCATCGCCAGGGGCAACCCAGCCTCCTACTCACTCCAGCTTCGTGGCCTTGGCCGGCTGAAAACAGGTATCTGGGGTTTATTTACCTTCTATAATTGAAACTTTGTAGCCTGGAGAGGTGTTCAGAGCTGGCCAGGGTAGGCGGGAGGGAAGCTTGGCTTCCTCCATCATTGGGGCAACAAAGCCTCCTGCTTGCTCCAGCTCCGTGGCTGCTGGCTGCCATCTTGGTTGGGTTAATTTGCAAGTAGTCCCTCTGATTGGCTGGTGGGTGTGGCTTAAGGTGTAGTGAAGGTATGGTCAATTTGCATGCTTAGTTTTTATTAGTGTAGATGGTTGTTGTTCACACATAATGACCCTCGGTCTCATATTTGGTCATTTTTATAGTTATTACATGCATTTGGTAGCTATGCTGTATATTATTTTATGTTTTACTGCTGACAACTGATGGCTATGTCCTGCCTCTTCTCCATCAGCCCCAAGGGGACTCTGATAGGAAAGGTTTGTGCTCCTCTTCATTTGTCACCAAGAGGCTGGAACCACACAAGGAAGCAGAATTCTGCCCACTGGCCCCCCACCTCACAGAAAATAAAAGCCTCCTTTCCTGCCTCTATCCAAGCACCTTTGACTTCCTGGAGGGCCTTTCCTGAGCCTCCCAAGGATTTCAACTATGAGCACAATGATCATTCCATGTCCCTTGGTGTGTGTGTTTGTCTTCGCCTAGACATCTGTACAAGCTGCTTTGGGTTTCCCTGCTACTGCCTGGTGTCACCTACTCTTGGTGAAATGAGCATGACAAGTCAATGACCATCACCACCTGGGGTCCTTCTTCTCTGGCGTTGGGGTCACACCCCTCTGGTGCCCACTGTCCAGTGCATGTGTGCCCAGGTGCTGCCTGCCTGGGGCCCTGAGCTGTGAGGGGCTGAGTTGCCCTGTTGAGTCAGCAGAACCTCTGGTTGGACTTAGGCACCTTAGGAAGAATTTTTGATCATTAATTGGTACTTGGCACAGAGTGTCTGAAAAATAAATCTTTGCAGTTTGTCCACGTGAGAAAGTTGTCTCTGTTTACAACAGACTTTTTAACTCAGAGACGTCAGAGTTAAGTGCAGAGTCAGGAATCCAGAGGTTCCCTGAGGGAAACTGTGACATGAAGGGGAAACCACACAGGAAACCAGCCCTAACCTCCAACTGCACCTGCTGCTGGGATGGTCCTTGTGTTCAGGGACCCAGAGCGCCCCCTGGTGGTCACAGCTTCTGCTGCAGGGAGGTTTGTGTCTGGGGTCACACTGACTTCCCCTCACTGTGTCTCTTGAACAGTAATACAAGGCCGTGTCCTGGGCTTTCAGGCTGTTCATTTGCAGATACACCATGTTCTTGGCGTTGTCTCTGGAGGTGGTGAATCGGCCCTTCACAGAGTTGGCATAGTATGTGCTACTTCCATCAGGATTAATGAGTGAGACCCACTCCAGCCCTTCCCCTGGAGCCTGGCGGACCCAGTGCATCCAGTAGCTACTGAAGGTGAATCCAGAGGCTGCACAGGAGAGTCTCAGAGACCCCCCAGGCTGCACCAAGTCACCCCCAGACTCCGCCAGCTGCACATCGCACTGAACACCTGCAAACATAGAGATATCTTGGTCAAGAAACTCTTACAAGTCCACTGTTTCTCTAATTCACATCCACTCACATACTCAGTCATTTTTTCTCCATAAATTACCTTTTAAAATAGCAACAAGGAAAACCCAGCTGAGCTCCAACCCCATAGTGAGTGGTCTGTGTTCAGTCCTGATCAGGGAATGAGAACACCTGGGGATCCTGGGGCTGGGCTCCTTTCCCAGAACTGCAGGGTCATGGCTGGGCTTGTTTTTATGAGCAGAGGAGTCCGTATTTGCATGTCCTCCTACTATATAGGGAGATATGGGGTTTGATTATGACAGAAAGGACATGGTCCCAGAGTGAGACATGTCCAAGTGTACATGTCTGTGAAGAATGACTCCCTACACCTGGGCCTGTGCTCTCCCCATTTGACGCAAAACTCCAGGAGACTTGTACAAAGACCCAGGAGATAAAATTGTCATAAAAAGAAAAAGAGAAGTTTTAAAATGAGAGATGCCTTTGACAATCACCAGTAATGACAACCAAGAGAAATCAACCCTCACAACCTGAGAAAGAAGTAAAAGTGCAGAAGGTTCATGTTCAGGAGGCAGGAAGTTCCATCTGACACTTTTTCCCCTACAAAGTGATCAGAGGATAAACTAAGACCAGAGTGTGAGCCTAGAGCCTGTGGACCAAGTGTTGCAGAGAGAGGAGCATCTGTGTGGGTCCATGAGAACCAGAAGCATGAGCTACAGAGACACAGACAGAGCTCCCATTTCCTATTTCTTCAGGGGAGTTTGGTGCTGGACCTGTAGCAGCTGCACTGCCTCTTTTGTGCTGTTTATTCTTTTGTGTCTGTTTTAGATCCAGTTTCATACGCTGGGATATAGAAGAATCCCCAGCATGACCAGGTGTGTTTAGCAGAAGATGTTGGAATGGATTTGGGAATAATTAAGTTGAATTTATGAAATCTTGTTATTGGAAACCTGATGTCTGCATATGACCCTTGGGACTGCTGTCACCGTGTCCCCACGTGATAGGAGTCAACTGGAACCTGCACCTGATTCAGTGCCACATTGAGGAGAAAGCTATCTGAGAGCATGATCGGGGATTAACCAAGACCGAGGACACATGTGCCCAGGGTTCTTGTTTCATTAGGTTGTGATCTCCTTGACATTTAGCCACTTCAAGTTTTCTTTCCTCATTTCCTCTGAAACAGCCCCATGAATTTTTAGAGTCTTGAAGACACTTTGTTGAGAGGCTGCAGAAACACAAGCCATTTTTCTGTAGATTTTGTATCTCACATCTTTCCTGAATTCTAGTTCTATTAGCCCCTCATACAGTTTTTAAGGTTTTCTGTGTACAAGATCATGTCATCTGTATAAAGGCGAAGCATTTTAACTTGTTTCTTTCTTATTTGAACATTTAGATTTTTTTCTTGTCCAATTATTTTGACATGCACTTCTAGTTTTGATGAATAGAAGTAGTCACAGTTGAACCCTTGTCTCGGTCGTGATGTAAGAAATATAACTGACATTTTCTCTGTGTAAAATGATGTCACTTGGTGGCTTCTCAAATGTGACCTTTATTACATCGAGGCCCATTCCTTCTATACCTGATATGCTAAGAATTTTAATTCTGTAGCATTTTTCCATTTTAAAGGCTTTATTCTGAATCTATTTATATGATGGTATACTTTATCTTTCATTCTGTGGATGAGGTGTATAACAGTTACTGGTTTACATTTGTGTGTGTGTTTTTTTTTTCCAGCCCACCCTGCTTTATTGCATACACACACACACACACACACACGCACAACATGAGGAACTGTATTTAACAGGACAGAAGGTTGAGAACCACTGCCCTAAATAAAGGAACTCTTACCCTTTGAGACAGCATGGAGGAACTTGAGAGTACTGTGCTAAGGGAAATAAGCCAGTCAGAGAAAGACAAATATTACATGATGTAACTTATAGGTGGAATCTAATAAACTAAATAAACTGATAAATAAAATAGAATGAGAGGCAGGGACACATGAATCAGACTGACAAATCTCAGAGGGAAAGGGGCAGGAGGGGGCAGGAGGAGATTAAGACAAGAGTTTATATCCACATAAGCCAGACAATAGGTGGTGAAGGCTGGGGTTGTTGTGGGAACAAGGTGGAGGAGGGCAAATTGGGGAAAATAGGGGAACACATCTCTAATGCTGTTTACAATAAAGATAAAACAATAAAATGTTTTATATATGTTATATAATAAATGTTGGAGCAGATGTGTGGGTGACACTATTTTATTCTTATGGGTCATTCATTTCATTAATAAAATGGATTAACATTATATACAAAAATCTTCCCAAGTACAAAGACACCAGTTATGTAGACTCGACATTGCAAAATTGAGTAATCATAATTTTATATAAAACTAGAGCCCAGGTGCATGACATTCGTGCATTGGGGGAAGGGGGGCTTTTCAGCCTAGCCTGCGCCCTCTAACAGTCTGGGGCCCCTCAGGGGATGTCCTTAGTGCTGCCACAGAGGCAGGAGCACCTCCACTGTGCTCACCAGCCATGAGCCTGGGTTCTGGCTGACTGGAGCTCCCCATGTGGGATTGCGCTGACCACCAGAGGGCAGCTTCTGCATTGAGCATCTGCCCCCTGGTGGTCAGTCCATGTCATAGCGACTGGTCGTTCTGCTGGTCTTTCCACCATTTGGTCGACTTGCATATTAGCCTTTTATTATTAGGATTGCCAATGCACTTCATATGTACCAGCCGGTTGGATGGACAGATAATCGGTCACATAACCCTTTATATA